TCTCTCCTAGGTCCTTGAGATGGTCATTCTCATCCTTGCTTTTGACCACCATGTCGTCGATGTAAGCCTCCATCGTTTTTCCTAACAATGGTTCAAACATCTTGGTGACCATTCGTTGGAATGTTGCCCCTGCGTTCTTCAGGCCAAAGGGCATGACCTTGTAACAGTATAGTTCTCTCGGAGTTGTAAAGGATGTGACCTCCTGGTCTGGTTCATGCATGGCGATTTGGTGGTAGCCTCTATATGCATCCAGAAAGCTAAGTCGATTGTGCCCCGCCGTTAGGTCTACCAGTTGATCTATCCGTGGTAGAGGAAAGCTGTCTTTTGGGCACGCCTTGTTGACTGTTTTATAGTCGACGCAGACACGTCATTTGCCATTCTTTTTTGGCACTACGACTGTGTTGGAGATCCATCATAGGTAGTGCACTTCTCTAATTGCTCCTGCCTCCAGCAGGTTACCTACTTCTTCCGCCACTATCTCGGCATGGTGGAGTGCTGATCTGCATGTGCGTTGGATGACTGGTCTGGCGGATGGGTGGACATTGAGTTGGTGACAGATGAAGTTTGGATCAATGCCTGGCATGTCGTAGGGCGTCCAGGCGAACACTTCGATGTTAGAGGTTAAGAATTTCAAGACCTCTAATCTCTCAGTGCTGGACAACGACGAACCGAGCAAAAAGAACTTATCCGGGTTCTTTTCATCTATTCTTACCTCTACCAAGTCCTCCACTGCTTTCTGATCAGCTGCTTTGCCGACATCTGTGAATAGTTCATTGCTCTCAGGTTCTTCCACCGAATGAACGTATCCTTTGGCAGCGCGGCTGCCGTTTACCGTGACAAAGCATTGCTTGGACATAATCTGATGTCCATATACCTCTTCAATTACACCGGTGTCGTTTAGGAACCGCATTACTTGGTGGTAGGATGACGCCACCGATCGCATGGCATGCAGCCATGTTCTGCCCAAGATGATGTTGTAAGTGGAGGGGACCTTCAATACCCAGAACTCTACTTGTTTCGTCATGCTTCCTGCTCTGACTGGAAGAATTATTTTGCCGACGAGCCATTCTGGCATGGAGTTGAACCCAATTAGGGGAGATACGGCAGGCGCCAAGTCTTTGTCTTGTAGTTTTAATTGTTTAAATGTTTCGTAGTACATGATTTCACATGAACTACCCTGGTCAATCAGAATCTGCTTGACGTCAAAATCCTTGACTCGAAGAGTGACAACCAGGGCATCATTGTGAGGGCAATATATTCGTTCTAAGTCTTTATCTGAAAAAGACATGACGTTTGTGGCCTCTGTCTTCCCCTTCTTGATGGCAGGTTGGGTACTTAGCACCTCTCTTAAGTGTTCAGCCTTTTTGATTGATCCCCTGAGCTCGCATACACGCTCAGGTTCAAAGACTCCATGTATCACATTGATAATGCCTTGAGGTGGGTTCAGGCCAAAGGGCAATGTCGAATTGTCCCAACTCTACTGCCCACTTCAAGATTCTCCTAGAAAAGTTCACCCTTTCAAACAAAGCTTTTA